ATGAAAAGCACATTGTAGCCTATTAAACCATTATCTCTGTCCCCTAAAAGTTTTTCTTTTTTTGCTTTTTGGGTCACACCCAGTGATGCTCAGGGGCTGCTCCTGACTCTGCATTCAGGAACTACTCCTGGCGGTGCTTGGGGGACCATGTGGGATGCTGGAATCAAACCCGGGTTGGCCGCGTGAAAGGCAAAAGCCCTACCTGCTGTGCTATTGCTCCAGTCCCCTAAAAGTATTTTAAATAAAATTAAGAGATGCATGACACCTAGTAATAAATTGTTCAAGAATAGTTACATATGTGATTAAATTACTAAGAAAAGTTAAGGGAAAAATAATTCAAGATGGTTATGTGGTTTCTAATTACCCCTGAGGAAGGCAGGGAGATTGGGCAGTACTTAGATTAGGGCATTATTCTATCTTTAGATTTTCATAATGTATTACATATTCTTCTTGTTTTCACCACATATATGTAATACTTATATAAAGTTGGTTTTTAAAAGGGGAAAAAGAAACAAAAGAGCAAATATCAGGGAACTTAAAAGAGTTGCAAGATAGTGTTTGTTTTAGTCTAAATTACCACGGAAGTTCTCATCAAAGTGAGACCTATAGCGGCTGGAGCAATAGCACAGAGGGTAGGGCGTTTGCCTTGCATGCAGCCGAACCAGGTTCGATTCTCAGCATCCCATATGGTACCCTGAGCACTGCCAGGAGCAATTCCTGAGTGCATGAGCCAGTAGTAACCCCTATGCATCGCTGGGTGTGACCTGCGCAAAACCAAAATAAGACCTATATGGAAATATTGGTGACTTAGGAGCACCCTGGTTTTTCAAGTGGGAAGAGCTAAAGCTAGAATATAGATTAGGAAGGAATGCATTATAAGGATGTCAGACTTGGGAATATATACAAGTCTTTCACTTACTACCTCTTCCCCATAACAACAGGAACATTCATAGAAGCTGTATTATATTCTAGGCACTTTACATATGCTATGTTAGCTAATTCTCACAACCACCCACAGAGGGTGGGTTTATAGTCACTTCAGCCCACATATAAATAATCCTTATGACAATGCAATGAGAATGAATGTTTCAGTATTGCATTCCAAATTTTAGGTATGATTTAAGTGGGTAAATAATGACAACTAGCTTGAAGTCTATAATTGAAGTCTAAGCAGAAATAGATAATTCTTCCCTCTGAGCCTATCATTGCCACTTACAAAACTTACCTCTCTCTGTTTCAGGAACAGTAGAATTTTGTCATTTTGCCTCTATGAAAATAAGTGCGACCACACTGACTTGCTTTGGACAATGATAAAAAAGAAGTAGTATGTGTTGTGTGTGCCTTTTTAGAAAGAAAAACAAACTTTATACTCATTTAAAGTTTTGATCAAGCTTGACAGTGTCAAAATGTCAAAAGTACCAAATTAATATGTGAGATTTTAAGTTTTTAGAGTCAATATGCATTTTTGTTGCATGTGTTTCCCCCTAACAGTGTTCCATTCGTCTGAGTTTTCAAGTGTCCGTGAATAAACACATCCTCTGAAAATCCATGATGAACAATTAGTAAGAAAGTTATGTGATTGAGATTTTGTAGTTGTTATTGCACAAAATACTAACCTGTTTTGAGCACCACATTCTCCTTTTCTAGAGTTAGAAATTATAAGTTAGAGTTAGAGAGTGTATGGGCTGAGTATTAAGATGAAAAAATTTTAAAATATATAAAATTCCTGAAATGCTCTGGCATGTAGTTAGCTCTCCACAGATAATTTTCTGCACCTGTTCCTCATAAATGATCACAATTTTTAATAACATACACACAAAGATTAGCTATAGAAGATGTAAATTGAATGCAATATTTAAATTTACTTTATTCTTAGTGCTTGTGATTTCTGAATATATATTATTTTTTCATGGTTATTTCTCTTTCTTTTTTTTATGACATCTTATTATCTCATTCCTACTTTGGACAAACTTGCAGGCTATCGAATGTAGCCTGCCCACAGGGCAGAGTCTGGCAAACTCCCCGTGGCGTACCAAATATGCCAAATACCAGTAACAATGATGGGTCTCATTCTCCTAAAGAGCCGTGAATATAATCTCAGGGCTAGGATGAAAGAGATGTTACTGGGGCCTGCTCGAGGCAATTGACGATTAACAGGATGATGAAATGAAAAAATGAAATGAAATTTCTCTTTCCAAGTCCAAGTGAAAAAACACTATTAGTGGTTCAGCTAGAGTCATATACCTGTTACTGCACTGGATGAAGTGAAACCATGTGTCAGAAGGAACAAGGAATGCTGCATAGTCAAAAGTAAGAAATACTGGTACTAATCTCGGCCATTCTTGGGTGTTAGTCTCCTATTTTGTTCCTTTATGTTCCCCAGATGAATGCAATCTTTTCTATGTCTATCCCTTTCTTTCTGAGTCATTTCGCTTAACATGATACTTTCCATGTAGTACCACGTGTATGTAAATTTCATGACTTCCTCTTTTACTCCATGGCTTAGAGGCCGGCCACACATGCTAGGGGAAAAGGGAGCTCAGATAGAGAAGGGAGCACCAAATAAATGGTGTTGGGAAGATCCTCCCAGGATGGGAGAAGCATGCTGAAAGTAGACTATAGACCAAACATGATTGCCACCCATTGCCTCTTTTGCAAACCACAACACCCAATAGGAGAGAGAGAACAAAAGGGAATGCCCTGCCACAGAGTCAGGGTGGGATGGGGGAGATGGGGGGTGGGAAGGATACTGGGATCCATGGTGGTGGAAAATGGGCACTGGTAGAGGGATGGGTATTTGATCTTTGTATAATTGAAACCCAAGCACAAAAATTTGTAAGTCTACAACTGTACCTCATGGTGTCTTACTAATAAAAATTTTTGAAAAAGAAACTTTTAAAGAAAAAAAAAAGAAATATTTAGTCAAAATAAATGTAGATAGAATTTTGGTTTTATTTCTTATAAGCTGAGTGTTAAGTTGGACCCCAGTCAGATCATGAACAGTCCTGTAATTATGCATTTCATGGTGATTCAATTAAACAAAATTCAACCCCACTGAACAGGCTTGCTTACATGTAAAGTGGGGATAGTACTTCACAGAATTGCTTGAATATTACACATGATATACAAGAGTCCAGTATCTAATCACGGTCACGATCACGGTCCTCCCGTTGTTTATTGATTTGCTTGAGCGGGCCCAGTAACGTCTCCACTGTGAGACTTCTTGTTACTGTGTTTGGCATATCGAATACATCATGGGCAGCTTGCCAGGCTCTGCCGTGGGGGCGAGATACTCTCAGTAGCTTGCCGGGCTCTCCGAGAGGGGCGGAGGAGTCGAACTCGGGTCGGCCATGTTGGCTGCTTGTAAGGCAAATGCCCTACCGCTGTGCCATAGGGCTAGAGCAATAGCACAGCGGTAGGGCGTTTGCCTTGCACGCAGCCAACATGGTCGACCCAGTATCTAATAGACCTCAATAAATGGTAGCACTTAAGGCAAATGTTAAAGATTTTCAGTTATTAAACTGAGCTCTAATACCCAAAAATCAAAGGTTAGGTAAAGATATCTACAGTTATAATTGACCAAAAATATAATAAATTATGCTATAAATGATAGTTTTCAATGGAGGTAAAGCCTCATTATGTCTTGAAAACTTTCTTTTAATAGCGATGAGGTAGAATGAGCACAGAGACTAAGCAGTAAGGTGAAAACAATTCCTAGAGTCCAGCCTTTAGACTATGTTCTGAGCATCTCTATATTGCTCAAATGTGACTCAGATTTTTTTAAGTCCCTTTAAAACTGAATTTTAGTGCTGAACTTAACTTTCTGAGTGTTTTCCCAACAAGTTATAACCTGCTTCTGAAGTCTACAGAACATCTTCTAGGTGTTTAACTAAACTTGATTTATTCTTATTCTTTTTTTTAGTTTTTGGGTTACTCCTGGCTCTGAATGCAGGAATTCTGGTGGTGCTCAGAGGACCACATAGGATACTGAGGACCTAACCAGGGTCAGGTTTGTGCAAAGGCCTTACCTGCTGTACTATCTCTCCAGCCCCTGATTTATTCTTTAAACATTCACTGAATGCATGTAGCTTGGTCCTAGGTGTCAAGAAGTCAGATATTACTAAGTTGAATTGGGAGCAGAGATGTAGAAAAGTGTTATAGGGACTGACTATGATGAGTCTGTACAGTGGCCCCTAGTCAGGGACCAGGATAAGAATCACAAAGACACAAGCTGGATATTAAGGGGGAAATGAAGACTGCAGCAGAAAAAAAGGAGAGAAGCCCCATGGGACAAGTTTAAATGTCTATGATATATTTTAGCATTGCTGGAGTTAGAGTAGGGGTGGTAGGAAATAAGGCTAGAAAGTGGTCAGGGGCCAGATCATGAAGAGTCTATGAAATAGGGGTGGTACTGCATATTAGGACAGATTGTTCTAAAGCTGATAAGCATGGTGGATTAGAGTAGTGATTCTTAATGTCTCAGATCACAGAACTTCTTTTAGAAAAAGGTATCCACACAGAAATAAAATATTGCTTACAACTGCCTGGTCAGGAATAGGACAGGGAAGAAATAGCAATTATGTCTTAACTAAGTAAGACACAGTAGAGAGTAAAGAGACAAATATTAGAACTCTTATCAAGAGATAAATAGATTTGAGAAATGAAAGTCATGAGTCCAGGATAATTCCCAGATTGGCTTGTGGTTTAGACAAATAAGAAGGCAGTGCCACTCATGAAGAGTAGATTGTAGATGAGGGAATGGCTTCTATATTAAAAATCATTGAAGCACAGGTGTCTTTACAACATTTCAATAAAGAAGTTCATCAGGAAGCTAAATATGTCCATTCTTTTGATGACTCTTGTGATGATATTTTGTTATGATATTCAACTACAAACAGGTTTCTAAATCTGTTAACACTTCTGAATTGAGACAAATATGCCTCTATTTGGAGAAAGGGATCCAGAAATGGCAGAAGAAATTAAAATTCACACACTCAAAATTGTTTCACAGTTCTTTACTAAAAGAATAGACTTTTATTAAGCGCTGTAAGTTTCTTTCCATCGGCATTAACAGAACAACAGACTAATTTCCATCACAGAATAACTTGGAGACATTCTAGTTCCTTTATGAAACATTTCCACTAACTCCCACAGGTTCCCCTAAGAAGCATCCATTCTAACTTACATTAATAAACTATGGAGCTTTTGTGGTAAGGTGGGCTCAAAAGGCAGGGAATTTGGAATTTGGGAGTGAGGAAGAGAAATACATATTATCCATCCACTAAGCACACTGTCAAAAGCACAGAAGAGATTTTAACACAGGAAAAAAAAACAATTAAAGAATTTCTTACTTTTGTCAATAACATCATTTATCAGGGAGCACTAAGAACCATTGACTCCTTGCAGTTAAAGTTTCTTTACCTAGAATGTTACTCTAAAAATAAAAGAGAAATGAATAAAATAAAGGGGGTGGGGTGAGGGGAAATGTCTTCTGGGAAGTAACTGAAATGAAACACTCAGATTTGGCAGTGTTATGACAGATTAATAAGATCTGAAATATTTAGTTTGCTTCATTTACATAAAACTCACTAGTCATTAGTTACTACCAACACAGACAAAAAGAGCATATATAAAAGTACAAGAGCAATGTCAAAAGCTAAAATGCATATCCTAGCACAGGGGGCATTTTTACTTTGCTTTAAATTGGAAAAAATGATTTTGAAAAACATGAAGTTATCTTCTTTGAACATCAAAATAACCTTTGACAATATTAATTAGTGGCAACAGGGAAACAGGTGCACTGAGCTCTATTTGCACCAGCAGACTATTGCAATAAGCCAGGGAAAAGAAAATGGAACATCAAATAAAAGAAGATGCCAAAGTCACAGGAGGGTGACACACAATGGAAGTGAAAATTTACCCCTCCCCAAACCCCAAGTATATTTAGGAAAAATGCATCAGGAAGTGAACAAGTATAATGATAAAACCTCAGTAGAATTACACTAGCTACTTTAAACTGTGGTCTACTTGTACCGTCATTTAAAAACAGGTGGAGGGGATTTCTTTGAAGCTGAAAGGGTAGCACTGACATGCCCAAAGGATCCTTCTAAGGATCCGATGGACTGGATCACTATAATCAAACAGTTACTTCCACATTCTTTCTACCCTACATAAGTATTCCTCCCCCCACCCCCCCCCCACCTTCTCTACCCTCCCTAATGCCCCATCCAGTTGTTTTTCTCAGTGATCAGAACATGTTAATGTTACTTGGCCAACAATGCCAGAAAATCAGAATGGAGACAAAAGTCAAATGTTACTAGCCAAAGCAAGTGTCATTCCTTGGGCTTTAATGTCTACCCAAAGTCCTACTGGCTCAGAAAGAAAAAAAATGTAAGTGAGCAAAGAAGTTTGTCAAGCCTGGTACAGACCAGACTGGCCATTGATTGAATAAGAATGGGAATTATCGGCTGACCCCAAAACCCATCAGCAGAAACTAAGAATTGTAAGTAGCTGGGGAATCAGGTGCATTTGCTTGTGACTCTACAAGGAAATGAGTCATTTCTAGGGCTTCCAATATGACTCTATCCAAGAAAGGTCACATCATAGTCAGAAATGGAATCTCAAGTGAACAGTAACAGTCTCTTAAAGTGGTACTCAAAGCAAAGATCAGAACAGTTCAACAATTTGTCCCCCAATGAGAAAAAGTTCCTTCTCTAGTAATGAACTCAGTCTTTATGGCTTCTAAATTGTGTATTTTGAGAGATATATAAAATTAGAGTTCTTTCTAGTAATTTTTCCAAACCCAAAATGCTGAATCCAAATAAAAATCAAGATTGGAAGTGAGCTGGGTTTTATGTTGGGCCTGGTAAAAGTGGAGGTGTGTAGAAAGGAAAATAGCAAAAATTTTTGGCAAATTTGAATCATCCTGTCAAAGCAGCAATTTTATTTCTCACAGTAAATTCCGATTAAATAAGGAACCTTAATGCTGTGAGCGTTAACAATACTGTCAATGATTGTATCAAATAGTTTCAAGGTGCACAGAAGCAGCAATGGAAGAAATACCTTTCTATATAACTTCAAGCACTTTCCATTAGAAAATGAGATTTTCTTTAGAGTTAATTCAATGAAGATTAATACTTCTATTTACTTGTAGAACTCAAGGGTTCTTCCCTTTCTGGCTCCAGAAACACAATTCCAAGCCATCTAAGTCCACTACTAAATCCCTCTTCTGTTGCATATAGAGGTCACAAACTTTATGATAAGGTTGGGCAGGTCCATGAAAAGAGGGGGAACCAAGTCAGGAGAGTTGACACCAAAGAGAAGATTTTTGTATACTCTTTTTCTGATTATATCCGTCTAGGTGTGCACAGCACTCTTGTCATCTTGCTTTAGTTTTACATAAATGAGCAGGGGGAGAAGTATTATAGGGCTCCTTTCCCCTGCAAATGATGGGTTCTCTTAAACTGGGTCAGAATAGGATTAAACAGTCTGAGACTATTTTCAGTCTCTCATGATACACTTGTTCTAGTGGACAGTGAGCAAACAGCCTTCTGGAGAAAAATTACCAAGGACTGCTAATGGTTAAGATGCATGGGGTTTTTCAAAGAGAGAGAAAAACCCTGCTAAAAGTCTAGTCAGTTGTATTCCTGTAGAAATTATATTTCTTGGGCAAGATTATCATCTAGCCCAAAAGGAGGTGTGGGGCTAGAAAGAAGCCTCAATTTCTGAACGAAGACACAGTGCTTATCTGCTGTGAGCCATGTTCCCATCCCTCATACTTAAGCTACTGAGGTGGGAAACAGGAAATACAAGGTAACCTTAAGAATATCTCTGTGATAAGAATGAACAGCTGTTTTCCTTGTCCTAGCTTGAGTGCGGCTCCAAAGGGGCTAATAACCTTTTACAGGATACCCCTAAAGACCAGTACCAGAATCCTCTTAATTTTCCCTTACAAAGAAAATGAAAAGATCCACTAGTCAAAACATCAAAGAACAAATGAAACAGTCCAGGCATATAAAATCAAATTGTTGGTATCCTCACACCCTGCTTCCCATTTTTCCAACTGGGCTAGTTCTTTCTCCTGCAGTGCTTGATGGCAATCATTTCTAGCCTGAGATCAATTTGATCCTGGATTCCCATATGAGATTTTCTCCAAGTAAGCTGCAAGTCCTATAATCACTTCCCATACTAGTTTTCTCTCCAGGCCTGGATGCTCCTTCATAAATAAATGTCCAATTCTTTCTAATCTTATTCCAAATTCTTTCTTTTACCATGTGGGATGTGAGGTCTCTGTTCAAGAATAAGCTTGTGAAAACTATTTGTTGTTCTGAACAGGAATTCTCTGGAAAGTATTTCTGTCTGCTTTAGAGAAGTCCATCTTCTCATGATTGTGATGGGCTGTGACTTGGTAAGGATTTTCAGGTGTGGTCTTTTGAAAAATACCGCTCCATAGCAGTGGAAGCATTTCTGGGAAATTCAGTAAATCATTTGGGAAATCACCAAGTTGGTATGTATGAATGCATGTGTGTGTGTGCACGTGCATATATATATATTTATATGCACACATACATATTTACACACATACATTATATATTTATATATAAAATATGTATAGATAAATATATGTCTCTTTATATAAAGGGTATGTGTATGTATACAGATACAAACATTCATATATACATCCACCCACATACTTCTATACACATACACACACACGTGGTATTTTAAATTCCCTTTCATACTTGTATCTCATCACATTCATTCCCACCCTTTCAGGATGTGGGCAGTAGGGAATAGATGAACTGCACCACATCATCTAGTTTACAAACAATGCTTTAGTTCAGCAGCAGGAAAAATCTGCCTAGTACTTTTCTATCTCTCTTGAATCGCCCAGTATAAAGGCCATTGGTAGATTCTGTATGTGATTTTAGTGTATACAATAAAAAATGAAACAACACTACCTCACTTCCCTGAAAACATCTACCTATCTGATTGTCAGACCAGAGCTAGAGGCAGTGGTATGAAATCCTGGGGTAGGTGAATTGGGAGAAAGAGTGAAAGGATGTAGATACTGAGAATATATCAAGGCTCCAGTACTTCACAGAGAAAACAGCAAGTCATGAGGTCAAAGACTGTTGACTCCATCACTTCAGGTGTTTTGTAAATGATCATCATGAGAAGGACTCAGAAAAATCAAAGCTGGAACTTTTCTACAGGGCCTCATATGATGTCAGCTTATTTCTGATAGTCAATGCCTTACTAGGGGAGACAAAGAGAATATTGGCACAATATATTCAATTTAAGAACAGGAGGGAGTCTTGCTGCCACTCATCTTTCACCAGAGCTTCCCAAGGGGCAGACCATTATGTAGGCCCAGAGAAAGACAGGAAAGGGGGAAAAATAGATACAATAAGATATTCCATAGAAATCCTGCATAAATCTAGGGTTAGCATTTTTGTCCTCCTCTAACTTGGGCTTAAAATCATAAAAGCATAGGTTTTCCCCTCTTCTGATTAGATGAAGCCATCTTCCACTTGTTATTCCTCTTTCTGCTGTGCCACAGTTCCTATCTTTTGCTCTTGTAAGTGGATCTTCTCCCCATTCTTCACGGAGAAGTAGCGGTTACCATTATTACACATGGTGCTGTCTCTGGGTAAGGCACATTGTGATGGAGCTGGAAGATGATGATCATTCTTCTCTTCTTTGACCAATGTGCCATTGTTTCCATTTACCTGTGAGCGGAACTGGCCTTGATGAGGCTCCAGGGATTTAGAAACTCCATCTGAAGTGCCCTGTTAAAAACCAAGATACTCAGAAGAAATGGTATTCCCAAATGATCTGTTCTTCCTATGCATATTCATAAGCTAACCTGAGAAAACAGCTTTAGGTCATTAAAACCACCAGAAAAGTCAGTTTGTTAACAACTAGTACACTCTGACATTGTTCTTATGACTTGGAGCAATAGATGGATCTGGCCAACAACTGAAAGGCAATGACAACAAACAACACAGTAAGTTTTATAATATATTATTTTAATACAAATAGGGACTTTATTGTGATGAATTATTTACACATAATGAAGCTGAAACTTAGAAACTTTAAAGTCTCAGAAAGTGATAGTGCCAGGATTCTACTCCAGGCTGATTAGTGTCTAAAGACTATTATTTCTTTCTTTTCCTTTTTGTTTGTAGTTTTTGGAATATACCTGGCAGTGCTCAGGGACCATATTTGATGCCAGGGATTGAACCAGGATTAGCAACATGCAAGAACTTTATCTCCTCTATGCACTCTATCTCTCTCTTTCCCCACATCTCTTTCAGTTTAAAAAATATTATCATATGTATTATATATAGTGATTTTTTTGTCACAACCACTGGTTTTAAGGACTTACTTCTGATTTTGCATGCAGGGAAAACTCCTAGAGGTGCTTAAGGAACCATATAGAGTGCTGGGGATCAAATCCAGGTTGGCTGGGTGTAAGGCAAGCAGCCTACCAGCTATACTATTACTCTGGCCCATATATGGTGAATCTCTCTCCTTTTTAGCAAACTCAAGAGAAAAGTAAATTCAAATAAGAAATATTGGAAATATAAAGAAAAAAAAGATCATGGTTCCACAGAATCTTCCAGTTAAAATCAAATCAGCTGTTTTCTTTTAATTCTGCAAACGTTACTTCTATTAAAATCATGATGTGAACTGTAGTACCTCGTGATGCAGTATAGTTTCTCATTGAATACCATTAGAAATGTTATCTTTTGATTAAGTGGTTAGGCATGTCAAGTAATCTGTTACATGTTTACAAATAAGACAAATGAGATTTAGAAAACAAATTGTACTGGAATGCTTGTATTTGTATCCATGTCTTTTGACTCAAAGACCCATTTGTTTCACTATGATACAATACATAATGGAGGTCCAGCATCCAGATATTTTAGTAAATAAAAACTACTAAATTTCATTGAATGAGGACCCATACTAAACACTTTGTATATAATTTCATTTAATACTCATGACAGTTTTGTGATGCATATAGCAATTTCTCCATTTTGCAGAGGAGGAAATTAGAGAACAGAGAGGATAAGTAACTGGTCCACAAACTGGTAAGTGGCAGAGTCAGATTAAAAGCTAGATTATGAGCTGGAGTGATAGTACAGTGGAGAGGGTGTTTGCCTTGCACACAGCCAACCCAGATTCTATTCCTGACATCCCATGTGGTTCCCCAAGCAAAGCCAGGAGTGTAGAACCAAAAGTAGCCCCTGAACATTGCTGGATGTGACCCAAAAAACAAAAAAAAGAAGCTAGATCATATGGTTCTGAAATCTGTACAACTTGGGAGGTAGTGTGAAAAAATGGAATAAAAGATGAAATGAGTAAAATGTCTCACAATGGATGGAGCTAGCCACTTCAGGGATTCAACAAGGAGATCAGACATTACAAATAAATAATGTTATTTTAGAAATACACAAAATTCAAGTGGTATAGGAATAATCTCAAGAAGACTGGTCTAGAACCACTGGAAGGCAGGGAAATATCTTGTTAAGAAAGAAATGCACAGACCATTCTCTAAATGACCTTAAAAGAAAATCTTTGGATTTATACCAAGCAAATCCTCTTAAGTGAGGTGATCCATAGAGAAGCAATACATTTGACTTGACAGGAAATTAAGTAAGTTTTAATGCTGACAATAAGTCTCAGAAAAATGCAGAATTGTTTCAGAATTTCTATTCATTTTCCTCTAGTATTTCAAGAAGTAATCATTAGACTGTAGACCGAACTTCTGATGTGTCATTGTAATGAATGGCCAATGTAAACTTCTAAATAAAGCTGAAAGGAAGGAGGAGGAGGAGGGGGGGAGAAGAAATAAGAAAGAAGATAGGTCTATATTTTGAGAAGATTTTTAAATGAGATGCAGCAATTATCTTTTGCCTTGGAGATATAGTGACTGAACATAAAAAGGAGAGTCAACAAGACAATTTGCAGTAGCTCTATCCGTGGAAGATGCATACATAAGCTATAAACAGTCAACATGAGGATTTCCTTGACGAGGCTTCCACTACAACAGTTATCAGTGACTAACAGAAACTTAAGATCACCTACCATCCCATTTTCTCTTGGTTTCCTCATCTGTAAAATAAAGAGAATAACAGGATCTATTTTACAATTTACCGTGAAGAGTCAGTGGGACACTCCATGTAAAACACATAGATTATTTTATGCTTGTCAGTCTATAAAAACTCAATAAATGCCACCTAATGGTACTTTTCTGACTGCATGCCCCCAAGCAAACCTCTGATAGCATGGCCTCCTTTACAGCTTATGCCTAAAGAGAGAAAGCTGTCACAGAAATAGGTAAGAACATGTGCATTTGAGTCAGCAAAAGTAGGTCTGAGTCTTGTCTGAAATGATTGTTATACTGGAATCAACACAGGGCTTTTTTTGATTTTTTTGGGTCACACCCAGCGATGTTCAGGGGTTTCTCCTGGCTCTACATCAAGAGTTACTCCTGGAGATGCTCAGGGGACCATATGGGATGCCGGGGATTGAACCCATGTCGGCGGCATACAAGGCAAATGTCCTACCTGCTGTACTACTGCTCCAGCCCCAACCCAGGGCTTTAAAGTCAATTAACACAGATTGAAATGTCAACTCTGATACTGATTTGATGGATAATTCTGGGTAACATACTTCATCCCTCTGAGCCTCAGTTTCTGCTATTGAAAAATGGAGGAATAGCTTACATGTATTTGTAAGAGTGCCAGCAAAAGAGAAAGTAACAGTAATTATTTCTTCTGTTTGTGTATCTTTCATTTCCTCCCTCCTATCCCCTTGTTCTCCTCAGCTGTCCAAGACAAAATTATAAATCATAACAAAAATAGGCCTTCATTTTTGGGGAGGAGGGAGGTTTCTAAATATTATAATTTATTAGATGTAATTCAGAGTAGACTGGGGGAAAGCTTAAGACCATTCTGAGACATTAAGAATAATCAGAATGATTATGCCCTTCTACTTCCATATGCACCAAAGACCAAAGTTCAATTTACTATGGAACTCTGGTAGCCATTTAGAAGTTCACGCTTGCCAAATTCACCATTAACCTTACTATGACCTCTTTGGGCTACAGAAAGCACATTGTATGCTAGGTACAGGTATTCTGAACACAATATAGCTTCTGTTTTATGGTGTTTCCAGGGGAAAGAGATGATTTGGCAGTTCTGTGGGTACAGTGCAGGCAGGCTAAACTGATCACTGAAATCAGAAGCAGGATGAAGTTATGATAGCTCCCCTATGATAGCTCCCCTATGCAGTACAGATTTCCATGTAATTTAGCTTTAAAATATAAGAGGTATCAAACAGAAGCTAGATTATATCAAAAAGGTGCTTACTTGTTTATTTCCTTTTTTATGTCCTTTGGATCCTCTACCAGTTTGTTCTTTTCCATGCCTTTAGAAAGTAGGGGAAAATAGTCATGAAGTATATATAAAACCCATTGCCCATTTTATACTTAGTTAACTATTCATCTCTTCTAGCATGTTTGACCATTTTAAGTTAAATGGTCCTTCTCTGAGTTATCACCATAAACCTGTATCTCTGTTACTTCTATAGCACACTGAATTGTGGCTATGTCTTCCTTCAGGTAAAAACTTTGTTACTCAGGCAGAGTATTTAGTATACGTATGATGAATGAAACTTAATGTAAATATGCCCCTTAACTTAATAAAAATATTTACTAGCTTGGATTTTCTTCATGGGAAACTTGACTGACACTAACTCATACCAACCTATTCAAATACATACCCCTTTCCTGGCCCACCGACAGAAACTACTTGCATGCCAAAAGAGCCTCGGCCCCTAGAGGGTCTGCTACCAGCCCACTGGCCCACAACCATTCCAGCAATCTCCAGTTTTCCTCCTTGGGGTGGGATTGGATGAAAACCTGGAAAGATAGGAATAATGGTAGGGATGTCATAATACAAGTAAAAGGTAGAATAAGAGGTGGAACAAAAGATCCTGTATTCCATCTACTTTGACTGTTTTCCATTAATGGTGTCAACAAATTTAGGGAGAGGGGGTTACAGATATGTAAATATCAACTTCAGTAAATGAAGAATGGAAGATTATTTTCAAGTTAGAGGTTGGCACATAGTTAACATTAGATATTTGTTAAGAGAATGAATATCTTAAAATGTAGTTATTGGAAAAACTATAGGCCTAAACCAGTTTGATTCAAATACATATCACTACACAGTGGAGGATTAGTTAAATAGAATAATGGAAAAATAATGAAATTAATGGCAATTTATAAGTAAAAGAATAACAGCAGTTGAAAACCAGAAAAAAATTAAAGACAAGATACTCCCTCAAAACAGGAAATTGAAACTATGTAGAATTTCTACAAAACACAGTAAAACTTTGTAATTTGATATATAAAGAAGTTTTCATGGAATACAGAGTTCTGATAAACCTCTAATTGAGTTTATAGTAAAACCCAAATGTGAATAACCCTTCAATCATTAAGCAGGTTACTGCTAAAAAACTCTTTGTTCCTATAAAAGTTGAAGTCTAAGGAATTAGTATGCCAAATTCCTACTAAGATGGCAAGAAATACTCGCATTTGGGGAATCTCATTGTGGCCTTTTAGGAAGCAGGAGACTCATCACTAGGAGAGAGATGTGGCAATGGTGAAGACCTCCCAAGAATTTGGCTTTACTTAAGATTGTCTTTTCAGGTCCAATAAAGTCGGAAGGCAGAGAAAGAGAACAGTTTATCAACTTCAAGTGATGGAATAAATGGATAGTTTCTTGTTTTTAAGACTTGATCATTACATTCCTTAATAGAGTCTTATCAGATGTTCACTGTTCATCTAAGAATAACTTTTAACTAGACATCCACACTGAGTATTGTGAACCTGTAATATACACACTTCAGCTGATTGTGACCCTCTAATATACACACTTCTGCTCATAGATTTACTATTTTATTATTTTTTCTTTTGGGGGTAGGTGCCAGTGATAGAACCAATGGCCTTATATATCCAAGGCATGTGCTCTACAACTGAGCCACTTCAACCTTTATTATTATTCTTTGTGAGGGAGGGGGTGGGTCACACCCAGCAGTGCTTGAGAACTATTCCTGGCTTCATGCTCAGGCATGACCCCTTGAAACCATATGTGGTACCAAGAATTTGAACAACCTTTGGCAAGATGCAAGGCAAGCACTTTAACCCCTGTACTATCTCTCTGGTCCAAGCTTTATTATTTTAATTTTTAAAGTAATGAGCAAAACACAACAAACTTCTTCTGCCATAGCAATGACACTCTCACCTGATTATAGAATCTCAACTGTTAGAGTGTACCTAATAAAATATTCTGCTTTGCCAGTGGACAAAGATTATTTGAATTAACAGGATCAGTATACAAGCTACCTATGCATAACTATATATTCATCATTGAGTTACAACTAAGTTATCATCATAATTTGTGTATATATGTGTGTGCATGTATTGCAATCCCAGGAATGCAGGAATTATGATTATTTCCTCTTCATGCTTTTGTAAATGTGTTAAGATTACAACCAAAGTAGCAGGCTAATCGTGTACCAAGCTCTTGTCTGCCAACCTTGGTCATTTGTTCTTCTCTCTTATTGTTTTTCCTGCAAGCTGCTAAATCTGCCTATGGGGAATGAGTGACCCAGGCAGACAGAATATATCTGGCTTTAGTTAAGATTACTAACAAGAAGCATGAAGATCTGGTTCACAAGGGTTATAGTCTCTGTCCCCCCCCCCCAAATAATCTCTGGTTTCTGCACCAGCTCCTCACAAATTTTACTGACGAGAGTCAAATCATTAGAGACCAACCATCATCTTACTGGGAGTGAGATGAGGGAAATCGGGGGACTTTATTCCTGAAGAAATTCAATCATCTAAATAAACTGCTCTTCATTGTACACAAGCATACAAGGTAAATGAGATCAGATAGATATATGTAAAACAGCAAATTCTGTCAATACCCTCAGGATGGAATATCATGAAATAGATATAAGATGACCAGTTTTGAGGTACTGACCTGCAACCCCCCGGCTCCTTCCTTGAGGGGGGGGTGGCATTGAGCCCATGGCTCGGGAATAAAGTGGAACAGGGTAGAGAGATGGTACCATGGGAGGCACAAAAGTAGGTGATGGAAGTAGAGCAGAAGGCGGTGGATAATTCATGTTGACTCCTTCAAGGATACTCTGTCTCATCTTTTCCACTTTTGTTGCCAAGTCAGCCTTCAAATGAGGGATAGAAAAATAATAGCAGCTACCATTTTAATAACTTCTCCTATGTTTTGTACTGGGCATTCTAGGTATATTTTTATAATTATATTTCCATTAAGGGATTCAAGGCTTAGAGCTAAATGATTCAAGATGATAAACTCACGAAAGGCATTTTGGCACCAAATTTCTTTCTTTCTTTCTTTTTTCTTTTTTTTTGCTTTTTGGGTTGCACCCAGTGATGCACAGGGATTACTCCTGGCTCTGCACTCAGGTGATCATGGGACCGCCATATGGGATGCTGGGAATAGAACCTGGGATGGCTGCATGCAAGGCAAACACCCTACCTGCTGTGCTATTGCTCCAGCCCCTGGCACCAAATTTCTTATTCTTTGTATCATCATATTAGTTTTGAGCAAGGTTTTGTAAGGCACATAGACAGACATAAGATTTGGTAAAGAGAAAACAAAAGTAATATATACAAAGCCTTTTATAACCTTCTATCCATTTCCAGGATCACTGATCCTAAACTCTGTCTATGAAAAGTCCTTGCTACTAGTCCAGAGATCATCAAAATTGTTCTAAAAGGGCAAGGCAATAAATACAGCTGGTTTTATTGTCATATTATTCAAAATATTTGGGGGGGGGGGTTTGGGGAAACATCTGAAAGTGCTCAGGAACTATTTGTGGCTCTGTGCCACAAATTTTGGTGGTTTTATAAATAGAACTGGAATTGGCTGCCAGCAAGGCCATATTGGATCTGTCACAATTATTTTTTAATTTTTAATTTTTTATTTTTTTGCTTTTTGGGTCACACCCGGTGATGCACAGGGGTTACTCCTGGCTCTGCACTCAGGAATTACCCCTGGCGGTGCTCAGGGGACCATATGGGATGCTGGGAATTGAACCCGGGTCGGCCGCATGCAAGGCAAACGCCCTACCCGCTGTGCTATTGTTCCCACCCCCCCCCCCCGTCACAATTTTTTGACTGCCATTATAGAATAAAAGTAGTCAAAGACAATATATAAATAAATGTGAGTATACCACTGTAAAACTTTACTGGAATAAAAATTTCAGTTTTGGGAATTCTGGGGTAGTTTTCTGATTTCTTAGCTCATTCCCTCTAAATAGATATAGAAGTAAGTCAGGGTTTCTTTCCCTTCCTTCCCTCATATTCTACAAGGTTTCATTGCAAACCCTGCCCCACTTCTCCTGTTACCTCATTTACTAATCTTTCCTATGTCCAAATATAGTCCCTTTAAAAATCATTTGCAAAAGTTACTTACAATTTTTGATAAATGAGGGAAACGAAATTCTAAGAACTTGAAGAGAGGCATATAATATTTTATGGAGTATTCTATGGAAAAGAAATACTCAAGAGTAAGAAGGGAACATGAAAAGTTCAAGCTCATAAAAATAATTTTCCAACTATTATAGTATGTTCATATTGATGCACTGGGTTGTGGGACTATCATTGAACAAATTAAGTTAAGGTCAGACACATTCTTCCACTTTTGATATCTGTCTCTGATCCTTTGTCCTCCTGTTCATTCTTCCCCACAGCAAATGAGAGATAGCATTTAGCAGTTGCCAAACATGCTGATACCTGGCCATCACAGAGCTCAACCAGTGATACTCGTTCTCGGCCTGCTTTAATTAGCTTGCTCTGGAACAGTTTTCCATCAAAGTAAATCCAGGGGCAGCAATGTTCCCAAGGAACTGGCTGGCCACAGGCATCATTGGCAAATAGAGCTGTGTCGACCCCACTCATGAAGAGGGCAGCAAGCTGGATCCCTCGGGCATCCAGTTTCTCAATCTGAAATGATCACAAGGAGAAACTACTATGCATAAATTGTTACAGAGAGATGCCTCCAGACCCCCACACCAGGCTAAACCCCATATCTAGGGCAGCCTGGGGAGGGGGCAGGTGAGTCCCCTCCACCCACTTCAAAACAGAACCCCAGCAGCCAAAATCCCTCAGAACCATCCCCACCATGCTCACAGCCGATCTCAACAGGCTTGAATGAGCCTCATCCATGAGTGAATCTGCTGAAAACCTCAAAGTATGGGGGTTATAAATGAAATCTCTAGATTCTCCCAGAGTTGGGGAGGAGGGATCTTTCCTCATCTCCCTTTCCTTCCAGGAGCCTGGCAGTCACACCCACGAACTGCCTACGGGCACTATATAAGATCATTAATGGCTATGATCCAGAGACTCACATATAGATCTCAGAAGAGATCAACAAGCTGCAGAGATGCCTCTGCACTCCAAAGTCACTATTCAGTTGAAAATTTAATTCTACCTGTATCACCCTATTTAAAATTCTACATTTCCTGACATCTCATACTCTACACCGCTGATATACCAGGAGTAACACACCACATTGGATCGGGTGCAAAGAACTGATCTCGATAAAAAAATATTAGCACATAAGGCTCAACCTGTAACAATATATTAGTAATCTCTTATACAAGGGCTTAATGGCGCCAGTCTGAGATACAACAATCTTCACACACTTTCTCCTAAGGAAACGTTTTTTGATCATTTTTAGCAGATTATTTATAACAAGCAATACAAAATAAATTTAAATTATTTAGGGCCTGCTACTGGGGCAGGCTTTGGTGGTGCCTGGGAAAATTCAAAATATTGGTGATGGGAAGTTGTAATGGTGGTGGGATTGGGGTTGGAATATTGAATATAATATATTACTGCGAACAACTTAATTTTTATAAAATAAAAATTAAAAAAATAAAGAATTGGTTACAATTAATAAAAGAGAAAACTTTTATTTTCTGAAAAAAAGTTTAAATGAGGACAGAGCAAATCACCTTGAGTTCTTGAAGCTGATCTGGTTCATAAAGTTGGGAAGATACTGCCTGTGCAAGGAAAGTGTCTAGCTCATGGCGATGCAGGATTCGGCCACCAGGCCACTGAACCATGTACCTAGGAAATAAAAGCATCATTATTAAGGCAATTTATTTATTAATTTCACAATACTTATAAAACTAAGATTTTTTTATAGGTCATGCCCTTATGCTAGCTTTTGGCAACTCCAGTGGAATAAAGAGTCCTGCCTTTGCTTACCTGCAATCTATGTGATACAGAGTAAAGACATATATACAAACAATGAAAGGACAGTGAAAGACAGAAGAGAACAAAGTACTACAAGAGCATAGAAAAAAAGCTAAGCCAGAAGAGTAAGGGAGGACACCCTCAAGAAAAAAGGAAGAGTGCAGTTTCCAAGAACTTATAGAAATTAGTGCAACAAAAAGTGGGAAAGGACATTTTAGGTTGAGTGATAAATATGCATGAAGGCTTAGAAGCATAGTTTTTAACACAGTATCACTGTATCATTGTCATTCCGTTCATTGATTTGCTCAAGTGGGCGCCAGTAACATCTCCATTCCATTTAATATGCTGCAACCAAGCATATTTCTAGTGACAGAACATTCCAGGGAAACGTTAGAAAGAATGCAGGCTGTATCATAAAGGATCTTGAAGTCAGTAAAGAGGACTTTGCTTAATGCCATTTTGTTGATATTTTGGTTATTAAGTTTAGTCAAAAAATATCCTATAGAAACAATACAGATATTATATATATATTATATATTATATGCACATATATGTATATATAAACACATACATACAAATGCTAGAATATTACTCCGTTATAAGATGAAAACTTGCTTTTCGCTACAATAGAGATGGAGTTAAAGTGTGTCATGTTAAGTAAAATATTTGATCATCTCACATATATGTGGTATATAAAAACACAAGGAATGGACAAGGGAATGGACAACTCTTGATGACAACATACCCTACACTTTTGACTATAGAACTGAGGTTACCAAGTGGTACGGGTAGGGGTACAGAGTGGGGTGTTAAGAGGAGGACTAAAAGCGACATGAAAGGACAATGGTGGAGGGTCTTGGGCATTTTGGTCATAGTGAAGGTGAACTAACTTTGTATACCAAAAACATAAACATAAACACTATTGTAGGGTCAGGAGCAATAATATAGTGGGTAGGGTGCATGCCTTACAAACAGCCAACCTTGCTTCATTCTCCGGGATCCCATATGATTTTTTGAGCATTGTCAGGGGTAATCCCTAAGCACAGAAGCAGGAGTAAACCCCAAGTATTGTTGTGCCTGGCCCCAAAACTAAAGCACCCCAACAAACCACTATTGTAGCCATACCTCCTCAACTAGAATAAAAAAAGAAAATAAATCCTAGCAATACCGAACAAAAGGACACCATTTGAAGGTCAGATTTCATTATATGATTCCTTTAAAGTCATAGCCCCTAAACACCTATTGATGGAACAGGCCCACTTCCACATATTAGAGAAACTGCTTGCTCCTTTCCCCTTCCAGGTAAGGTTAAATGCCCTGGAATTGACATCCCAGGAGCCTTTTAGGAACCAGAAGCAGATTACCCTCTCGGGGACCAACTGTGTCCCAGCAGCCTCCACACTGGACTTCTGCAGAATCATCAGACTTACATCATATCAAAGACCCCCTGCTTCCTCCTCCACCCTTCCAGGTGAGGTTAATTTCTCAGTTGGCATTCCCAGGGCTATTTTAGAATTGGAATAATATTCCTTTCCCTTCCAGTGGGGTTCCAGCAAACTTGTGCCTGATATTCACAGTATCAGCAGGCCCATCTCCATATCTTAAACCCTCTCTTTGCCCCTTCAAATTCTTACTTGTATTCTGAACATATGTGGCCCTGCAAAAAGCTCTACTCATCACACCTCACACTGGTCACAGCCCCTGTCACCCGGTGAAGACAGGCAGGGAAAGAAAAAAGTTACACCTAGCCTAACACCTCAGAGACTCTCAAGGGGACTAACTACAAATATTCAGCACAGCAGGAGCATAGCAAACATAATAGGGAAGATGCACAGAACCCCACCAAGCTCAATAAGTGAAAATAAAATGGAAAACTCCATCAGCAATAGCCAATCTAAGCTCTCAGAGAATGACTTTAGTGACACTATCTTGAGAATTTATAATGAGTTCCAAGAAATAATGACACAGGTAGTCAGCAGAGAACAATAAAGTAGGATAGCTGAAATGAGGCAACTACACTCAAATGACAGAAATGAAGAGTATGGTAAGGGATATTTAAAGAATGTAATAGAAGATTTGAAAACAGAATAACAGCGGCTGAGGAAAAAATTAAGCTCTGAGGAAACCTCTGAAAAACAACTGAGGATGGAAGAAAGTCTAAAATGAAAAGAACAGCACATGAGAGAACTGTGGGATGAATTCTAGAGAAACTATATAAGAATCTTCTGAACTCTTGAAGAACATGTATCCAAATCCAAGAGGTATGAAGTTTCCCAGGGAAAATAGAGACAATAAAAAATTTCAAGACACACTGTAATCAGAGTGACAGAAATCAAAGAGATACACAACAAAGATCAAAAAAAGAACTTTCATACAAAGGAAAGTCAATAAGATTCATAGCATATCTATCAAATGAGACTCTATGAGCCAGAAGAGAGTGGTGGGATATAGTAAAGCATCTTAATGAAATGAATAAATCACCCATTCAGATTTGAAGAAACAAAGCTTCATGAATAAGCAACAGTTTAGGGAATTCATAGCTTTAAAAGCAGTTTTACAAGAAGTGTTTAAAGGATCTTCTTTATTGGGCCACATCCAGCTGTGCTCAGGGCTTACTCCTTCCTGGCTCTGCACTAAAGGATCTCTTCCTTCTTCCCTCCCTCCTCCCTTCCTTACGGGGGGCCACACCTCGTAATGCTCAGGGGTTACTCCTGGCTCTGTATTCAGGAATTACTTCTGTCGGTGCTCAGGGGACCATATGAGATGTTAGGGATTGAACCCAGGTGGGCTGCATGCAAGGAAAATTCCCTATTCGCTGTGCTATTACTCTGGCCCCTAAAGGATCAATCTTAGCGGGGCTTGGGGACCATATGGGGTGTTGGGGATCAAACTTGCATTGGCTGAGTGTAAGGCAAGTGTCCTATTTGCTGTGCTTTTTCCAGCCTGAAAGGAGATTTTTAAAAGAGAAGATTTGTCATTGAGTATGGCACTCACTCATGGTGATTATGGTTGTCCTCAACTAGATTAGGAAACGTTTGCTTACTCTTAACTTGCTAAGGAGTTTTATTCCTTTTCAATAATGAATTAACCTTTTATTTATATTGAATGTTCTATGTCTATTCAGGTAAATTTTTAATAACCATAGAGATTTTTATTGCAATATTTTATTAATTCATATAATTAAGCATCATCTATAACATTATTTAACATAAACCAATATTTCCTTTATAGAATAAAACGCAATCGTCCTTTAATAGGCCCATTCAAATTTTTCCTTTAAAATTTCCTTACTTTTCCTCATTCTTCCTAAATTGCACATTTTCAGGACTTATCTATTTCATGTAAAATTTAAAATGTATTAGAATAGAATTATTCATGCTATTAATTTTTAAAATTTATATACCTGTAATAAAAAAGAAATGGGTTTCTCTTCAAGTTGGTTTTTTCATATGAACATGGATCTCACTTGCTTGTTTTTATGTTTCTTTGCTTGCTTACACTCTGGGGAAGCTTGTGTTCTTTCTTGAACACATTTCATCTCTTTCTCTCCTCTTACATCTTCTCTTTCAATGAAAACTTTCATTCAATAAAAACTACTTTGCTTCACTAAAAAATACAGATGTACAGTTTTGGGGAAAAATTTTAATCAACATATTGGTTTAAAATTTTGTAGAATTTGGGGAAGTTGGGTTTATTTATCTATAATATATAGGTGTCACCACCTTCACAATAAAAATAGCTCTCCTATGTTGTATATAAATATAGTAAGGGAACAGCAAATGATGAAAGTCATGAGAACTAGAGATTTTTTCTGTAGACCTGGGCTTACATGGAGTGTAGGGGGTAACTAGGAGGGACCCTTTGAACACTGGAGGGAAGCGGGCACTCTGGTGATGGGTTTGGTCCTGGAATGATAGATGCATGAAAAGTATAATTAATAGCATTGTAAATCCCAGTACCCAATAAAAATGATAAAAAAAAATAAGAACCTATTATTAAGTAAGGACTTACTGCTAGAAAAGGATTTAAGGATTGTCATCAGGAGAGTGATACTGACTGTAGAGAGGGTAAAAGACAGACACATGGGTAGCAATTAATAAGTAACTCGCAATCTGTGATGGAGGTCTGAACAAAGGCAAAGACTACAGGGTGGAAGGACAGGAGAAAAAGACAAATGCTGTTAAGGAGAGAAATTAATAAGATTTGGTTATGGATTTATGGTAGAGAAAAACAGTCAAAAATTTCTGGAATTCAGGCTTGGAAAGATGACTAAAGGGTGAAATGTTACTCAAGATAGAAACAAATTTTTGAAGAGGGCCAAAGAGTTAGCCAACTAGAACACAAGCTTTGCACACAGGGGGCCTGAATTCAATTCCTGATGCCACATGGTACCCTGAGAATTGAAAGAAATGGACTCTCAAGCATCCAGTTGGGAGCAGCCTCTGAGCACTGCTAATGTGACTCCAAAACAAAAACAATAAACAATTTTTGAGGAACTTCCATACTATTTCTGTAGTGTCTACATAAATTTCCATTTCTAATAATAATTCCTTGTCTTAATAATAGATATTACAATAAGTTTGAAATATTACCTCATTCTGGTTTGATTTGCATTCTGCTTCATTATTTTGAGTACTCTGTCATGTATCTGTTGGGCACACGCATGATTTGACTGCAAATATTTTCCCTTATTCAGTTAAGTGTCTTTCAGTTTTAGCCCGTGTTTCTTTCATCACAAAGAAACTCTTTTTTTTGGTCACACCTGGCGATGCACAGGGATTACTCTTGGCTCTGCACTCAGGAGTTACTCCTGTCGGTGCTCAGGGGACCGACAGGAGTATGGGATATGGGATGCTGGGATGCTGGGAATT